AGCCAGGCCTCCTGGGCCTCCCGAGGGCGTGGGGGGAGCCCCAGGGGCCCGCGGGACCCCCAGGAGGGCTGGGAACTTGGGGGGAGGTGGGACCTGAAGGGCCACTGCATGGCTGAGACGCAACAATGGAGGACGTTGGTCCCTGGCCAGTGTCGCTCAGTGGATAGAGCGTAATCCTGCGGACTGAAGGGTCCCGAGTTCGATTCCCAGTCAGGGCACAGGCCCGGGTTGCGGGCTCCATCCCCAGTGTGGGGCGTGCAGGAGGCAGCCAATCCATGATTCTCTCTCATCATTGATGTTTCTGTCTCTCTCTCCCTTCCTCCATGAAATCAATAAAAATATATTTTAAAAATAATGATGAATTCTCAGTCTGTGGCTTCTTGTCCCCACAACACCATCTCTCGAGCTGTATTTCCGTGTAATGTGCCCATCCAGTTACTTCCTGAGACCTAGGACCTGCCAGGCAGTGTTCACAGTGGGGAAGGGCCGGCGGCTTCCATGGCAGGAGAGGAGGGCACGGAGCACAGAGCACCTGAGAGGGTGGGCTGTCCCCTGGTTAGAACCCTGGGACCCGGGGGGATGGCGGGCGCGGCCACCTGCTGCACGTCCTGGGGGATTATCTTCTCCCCCTGGAAGGTCACTTGGAGGGCACGTCCTCAGGCGGGGACTGGCCCAGGTGACAAAAGGCTAAAGCCACCGGGTGCTGACCAGAGAGCAACCAGACCTCAAAGGCAGACAACCAACATCAGTCACACCAACGGGGCGGGGCGGCGTTCTGGGCCCCGGATGCAGCCCTGGGCGGGAACGTGCCACAGGCCCTCCTGTCCACCCCAGGGATGGAGCCCAGTGCCCACGCCCGACAGGGCACTGCTTGCCAGGTCCCCCTCCACTCTGGGAGCTGGTGGCTCCGTGCCCTGGAGAGATGGGAAGTTCAGCTCTGGACCCCCCTCACCCCGAAACTCCCCCACTCAAGGCGGCCCCAGAATGCGGGGCTGTGCCAAGACCACCGGCTGGCTCCTGCCCAGGCCACACCCCGATGGCTACTGGCCCATGTTTTCAGCAGAGAGACCCAGGCAACCAAATCGCCTGCTGACATTCCTGAGGGCCCGTGCCAGGCCCAGGCGGCCAGAGAGTACACACCTGGCGAGTTCAGACCTGCCTCCCGGCCTGAGGCCCGGCGACAGCGGGGCCACCCCAGCAGGTGGGCGGCCGGACATGAGACACAGAGCAGGTGCTGGGCGCTGGGGACTCAGGGGTTCATGCTGCTGCTGGAGCACAGGTCAGAGGTTAAGGTCTGTGTGGAAAGGGAGGCCACAGGGTCACAGCGGGACCAGC